CCTCTGGAGTTTTAGAGACGCTTCCGGCCGACGCAACCCCCTCTGGAGTTTTAACGACGCTTCTGGCCAATGCAACCTCCTCTAGAGTTTCAGAGACACTTCCGGCCAACGCAATCCCCTCTGGAGTTTCAGAGACGCTTCCGGCCGACGCAACCCCCTCTGGAGTTTCAGAGACGCTTCCGGCCGACGCAACCCCCTCTGGAGTTTCAGAGACGCTTCCAGTCGACGCAACCCCCTCTGGAGTTTTAGAGACGCTTCCGGTCGACGCAACCCCCTCTGGAGTTTCAGAGACGCTTCCGGTCGACGCAACCCCCTCTGGAGTTTCAGAGACGCTTCCGGCCGACGCAACCCCCTCTGGAGTTTCAGCGACGCTTCCGGCCGACGCAACCCCCTTTGGAGTTTTAGTGATGCTTCCGATCGATGCAGCCAATGGGGCTTGTGTGTTAGGTGTTCCAAATGCACGAAATGAAAATCGACGACCAATCTTTCCTCACCGATGACATCATCAAAAGTGACACCCACCTTCACATAACATTGCAAAGCAATGATTAAGAAAAGGGTGTGAAAGAGGTTGAAACCTTTCGCCATGGCCATGGTGAAATGTCTTCAAGTTGTAGGGTTACAAGCTCGTTTCACAAATGATGAAGAGTAGCAATAGTGTGAGTGCTTGTGCTTGAATTCTCAGGTAATGTGAAACCCTATATATAGTTTGATAGGAAAATTATATTTATAAAAGACACCAAATTTAGAGAGCGTCTCAAAATTTTGTATGTTTTGGTGTATTCCAAATATTCCAAATATTCCAAATATATAGAATCTTTCCCTACTTAATTTCTAATCTCTAATTATATTTTTAAACAAAAACATACCATTGTTAGTCTCTCATCTTTTTGATGTGTAATAAATAAATAAATTATTTTATTTCGTGAACTCAACATTAATCTATAGCTTAGCCTCACCCTAAAAATCGAGAGAGAAAGAGAAAAACCCAACTCAACCTTGAACCCGCCTAAACCGACCAACTAACTTCGTGAAAGTGATCACTAACCAACGTCCAACAACCACAAAGAACTGGATCTAACTTCGTGGGAGGGAAAAATGTCCGTGAAGAAGACGAGTCCATTAGACCTAGATCTAACTTCGTGGGAGGGAAAAATGCCCATGAAGAAGACAAGTCCATCAGACCTGGATCTAGGTCGACACGACATCTCACGAGTTTTTTTTTTAATATATATTACCATATAATGACATAATGAGTCCATGGTAATATAATAATTATCATATATGGTTCTTTGTGTAATGAATTATCATATATAAATTCATATATATATATAATGAATTATCATATATAATAATTATCATATAGACAAAATAAATAAATTGAATAATTATGACACTTTAATAAAAATTATACACAAAAATATTATGATTCTTATCCTAATCGGATGCTCAGTTAATTTATAAAAAATATATATAAATAATGATTCAGTTCAACTTAAATTCATGTAGGAGAAAATTATATTAAAAATGTAAAAAAAAAAAAAAACACATTTTTTTCAAAAGAGAAAACTACATTATCAAACTAAGGCATAAATAAATTATAAATACATATTTTATATTGGTTAAATAAGTTATAATAATATTAAAATTTTACTCAAAGTGTTTAAATTTTTATAATAAATTTGAATAAAATATTAAAGTTTTCTTTTTATAAACAAAAATTAAAACAATATACTTAGACCTTTGTATGGTGTATTAATGCATTAATAAATCCATTGGATATGGCCTTGAAACACCCTATTTAAAGCAATGTGCTTCATTTAATCTTTAATTAAAATAAAAAAAATTAAATATGAGGAAAAAATAAGATAGGAAAATCAAAAAAATAGAAATAATGAATTTGTCATAGTGATCCGGTTTTATTTAGGTTTTGCTGTGTTATAGTCATGCTACTCTCCAACTAGTGTCGGGGCTTATGTGCTACTCCCAATTGGTGCAATGGTTGGAGTTTTAGTGACGCTTTCGACCGACGCAGCTCCCTCTGGGGCTTCAGCGACACTTCCGACCGACCATGCAGCTCCCTCTGGAGCTTCAGTGACGCTTCCAACCGACCATGCAGCTCCCTCCGGGGCTTCAGCGACGCTTCCGACCGACGACGTAGCTCCCTCCGGGGCTTCAGCGACGCTTCCGACCGACGACGCAGCTCCCTCCGGGGCTTCAGCGATGCTTCCGACCGACGACGCAGCTCCCTCCGGGGCTTCAGCGATGCTTCCGACCGACGATGCAGCTCCCTCCGGGGCTTCAGCGATGCTTTCGACCGACGACGCAGCTCCCTCCGGGGCTTCAGCGATGCTTTCGACCGACGACGCAGCCCCCTCCGGGGCTTCAGCGATGCTTCCAACCGACGATGCAGCCCCCTCCGGGGCTTCAGCGATGCTTCCGACTGACGATGCCCCCTTCGGAGTTTTAGCAATGCTTCTAACCGATGCAGCCGATGGGGCTTGTGTATCATGTGTTCCAAAAGTACGAAATGAAAATCGACGACCGAGTCTTTCTTCACCAGTGACATCGTCAAAAGTGGCACCCACCTTCACACAACATTGCAAAGCAATGACTAAGAAAAGGGTGTGAAAGAGCTTGAAACCTTTCGCCATGGCCATGGTGAAATGTATTCAAGTTGTAGGATTACAAGCTCGTTTCACAAATGATAAAGAGTAGCAGTGGCTATTGAAGGTTTGAATTTGTCTGATAAATCGTGAAACTCTATATATAATTTGATAGAAAAACTATATTTAGAAAGAGCTCTTATACTTTGTGGGCTCGGGAGTATTCCAATTTTAGAATGTTTAACTAATTCATTTCTAATTTCTCTCCTTTCAAAGAATAATTATATTTTTAAACAAAAAAAAAAAGGCAAATTTTAAAAATAACATATATTTTTTTAAATAATGTAATTATTAAATGTATTTGAATTTTTGTTTTCTTATGTTGATGTGAGATTCTAGGTCGACTGTGAGGTAACATTATACTGAGACTCTTTGAGAAACCCAAAAATACACATTGTCATTTAAATTGGCCATACACCTCTAGACGGCTACTCACATAAGCTCTAAGAACTTAGTAAACCTGCATGACATCTATGGATGACTAAGAACGTTCACCCAACTTACTAGCAGTGTGAATTAGAATGTGTATTATCCATATAGGGTCTATCTATTTTATTTCGTTATTCAGTTAAACCAATGATTTGTTATAAGCATCAAACATTTGGGAAGTGGTGAGAAACAAATTTATAAATGTCGTTATTTCGTTGTTTCTATCAACGAAAAAGTTCTCCGATCCATAGATCGAATTATAATGGATGAGTCTTGGATCATTCGATTACGTATTATCAAATTTTTTTCTTCATTCAACTCGGATATTTCTTTCAATTCAACTAATCGAATTGGGTTTCTTTGTGAAAGGTTTTTGATGACCCGTTTTTTTGTTTCGTTTAACATATTTATAAACACGTTTAGTCTTTTTTTTAAAACTCTTCGAGTCCTTTTTTTAATTTGTTTTTCGACTTTTGTTATTAAACCGGGTTCAAAAAACGAACCGTTTTTTCTATTGAATTTTTATTAGGTAACCCAAATACAGTTATCCGCTCCGCACTTGGCTACCCAGCGTTTACCGTGGGCACGATAATCCTCTCGTACTAGGGAAAGGTCCTCTCAATGCTCTAAGACCCACACCGGNTATGGACCGAACTGTCTCACGACGTTCTGAACCCAGCTCACGTACCGCTTTAATGAACAGCCCAACCCTTGGAACATACTCCAGCCCCAGGTGGCGAAGAGCCGACATCGAGGTGCCAAACCTTCCCATGTGAGCTCTTGGGGAAGATCAGCCTGTTATCCCCTTAATCACTTTTATCCGTTGAGCGAGGGCCCTTTCGCTGTTTCTAACAAACAACTTCTTATTACTTGACCAAGTAGTGCCTTATCCCAGGTTTCTGATCTTTCTATACATGTTTGTTTCTCTTCCTCCTTGGCTCTTCTTATCATCACCGCTTTTGTTTCATTTTCCTCTGGCTTTTCCTGTGTATTATCCGAAATAGTATCGAGCGAAAGGTGTAACCTATGGATTAAGTCAACCCTACTCCACTAGTAAAAATATTCACTAGTAAAAATAGGTAGCAGAGGGGAAGAAGCACTACACCTAGGAATCAACAACACGAAAACTTTGTTATAAATTATCCCTTTTCCTTATCGGGATCGGAACTTAGAAAAATGGTTGGGACAACAAACATCCATCTCGTTTGTATTTTGGATACCTGTATAACCATCGAAGACTGTTGAAGTGACTAATTCCTGGAAATTTAGAGGCGTTGAGGACAAAGAAATTGTTAAAGTTACCATTTTTATTTTTATCTAGTAACAACAGGAAGGTTGGCTAGAGATTTTTTGTAAAAACGCTAGTCCCATCAGTTCATAATGAGAGTATTTCAATCTTTTTTGATTTCATGTATTATTCTCATCTCATTATGCGCATCACATAAAGGGGGAGCCGTATGAGATGAAAATCTCACGTACGGTTCTGGAACGGAGATTCTTTGAATGGAATAACGAACGACCGTAACGGATGTCGGCTCAATCCGAAGGAAATTATGCGGAAGCTCTACAGAATTATTATGAAGCTATGCGACTAGAAATCGATCCCTATGATCGAAGTTATATACTCTATAACATAGGTCTTATCCACACAAGGAACGGAGAACATACGAAAGCTTTGGAATATTATTTTCGGGCACTAGAACGAAACCCGTTCTTACCACAAGCTTTTAATAATATGGCTGTGATCTGTCATTACGTGCGACTATCTCCACTATAGAAAGAAAAAAAAAGAGCAAATTCGATAATAAATACTAAAAAAAATAGGCTTTCTACATATGTATTGTCCAAACTAACGATTTGCTTAACTCGAGAAATTTCATTCAATTAGATTAGATATGGTAAATTATTAAAAATATGGGACAGCAAAAGAATTGACCGTTGAGCCGTATGAGGTAGGAAACTCTCAAGTACGGTTCTAAGGGAAGGAATTTACCTGTCTATTCCGACCGGGGAGAACAGGCCATTTGACAGGGAGATTCTGAAATTGCGGAGGCTTGGTTCAATCAAGCCGCTGAGTATTGGAAACAAGCTATGACAGGGAGATTCTGAAATTGCGGAGGCTTGGTTCAATCAAGCCGCTGAGTATTGGAAACAAGCTATAGCACTTACTCCCGGTAATTATATTGAAGCACAAAATTGGTTGAAGATCACAAGACGTTTCAATACCGTAAATGTCGTAAATGAAAGTATCGTTCTTGTTTCTATTCTTCATCATATCTTCATATTGTCACATGGATACCGTCATATCGTCATATTCTTCTTCTCGTCATACTGTCCCTAATAATGAAACTTTCATTTTCATTCAAATTTTGAAGCGATTTGAGTGGTATGATCATTGGTATGATCATCCAATCAAATGAATTAATCGATTTCCAAAATAATATTAGGACAAAATCTGATGTTCAATTCATTTATGATAAAAAAAATAATAATAAGAATGAATTACAAAATAGTAGTTATTCATTTTGGTTTAGGTTTTCATGTGCTCAACGCTACTTTCAACTGCTCCCAATTGGTGTGGGGGCTTCTGTGCTACTTTCAATTGGTTTACTCGTTGGGGTTTGAGCGTTGCTCCCAACTGGCGCAGCCCCCTCCGGAGTCTCAGCGATGCTCCCAACTGGCACAGTCCCCTCCGGAGTCTCAGCGATGCTCCCACCCGACGCAACCCCCTCTGGAGTCTCAGCGATGCTCCCACTGGACGCAGCACCCTCTGGAGTCTCAGCGATGCTCCCACTGGACGCAGCACCCTCTGGAGTCTCAGCAATGCTCCCACCCGATGCAACACCCTCCGGAGTCTCAGCGATGCTCCCACCCGACGCAGCACCCTCAGAAGGTGCAGCTGCTGGGACTTGTGTTCCAAATGTATGATATGAAAATGGACGATCAACATTGACATCACCAGTGACATCGCCAAAAGTGGCACCTACCTTCACACAACATTGCAAAGCAATCACCAAGAAAAGGGCGTGAAAGAAATCAAAACCTTTCGCGGTGGCCATGGTGAACTGTCTAAGTTGTAGAGTCACAAACTCGTTTCACAAATGATGATTATTAGCAAGGATGAAGATGTGGGTGTTTGAATATTTCTGATAATGGGAAACTATATATATATAGTTTAATGGGCAACTATATTTAGAAAAGACCAACCAATTTAGAGAGGCTTGCAAATTTGGTGTATTTTAGAGTATTCTAAATATAGAAGGTTTGACTGTATATTTAACCCTAAATATAGATTTAATATTTAATATGCATTCCAACTCAATTATTAGGGATATAAATTATAATTATTTTTTATTATCTAATAAGTTTATTTGTAAAAAATTAAATTGATATTTTTTTAGGCTCATTCCATTTTAGTTTATGTTCATATTTTTACTTAGAATTTTCAATAAAACTTTGAATCTATTATTTTCTTATCATTATTATTTTTTTTGGTAAAATAGTAATAATAATTTTAAACAAAAACATATAATTGCTAACCTCTCTTGCTTTGATATGTAATAAATTGATTATTATTTTATATAATAAAGTCAATATTGTTATATAATATTGTTGTAGAAGTAGGTCGTCCAAGTAATTAGCCATTTAGACTTTTTTGGATCAAGAATTAATTATAGGGATCGCTGGGATAATTTTGGATCATAATACAATATATGCTATGAAAAATTACGAAAATACCCCTATGTTAATATTTTTATGATGCATGTTGTTTTTAATTCTCTGACGTGCTAGAAAGGAGGATACAATGTTGGGATTGTGCTCTCAATATTAATGGAGGTTTTCTATCTATTAAGCTTGCATGATTGATTAGATTGTGAATTCCGTGATAGAATTATGAAAAATTACAAAAATACCCCTATGTTAATATTTTTATGATGCATGTTGTGCTACCTATTAAGTTTTCTCTATGTTGTGCTAGAAAGGAGGATACGATATTGGGATATGTGCTCCCGAGTGATTGATGAATGTTTTCTCCCTATTTAGCTTGCATGATTGATTAAATTATGAATTCCGTGCTTTAGGTGATCAATAAAATTATCTCTTTAACCAAGCATGCATAAATGAACCAAGTTAAGTTTAGGGTGCTTGAGTTGGGGTAGTTCCACATTGACCTAGGTCGTAGATCGAGCACTCTAGGATCGTGAGTGACAATCAATGATCAAGACCTTAGTGCTCCTAGAAAGCAAAGTATGATAGTCTCAAATGTCCTGAATGTGAGATGAGATTTAAGCTGCCTAGACTCTCTAAAAACCTAGATAACCTTTATGACATCTATGGATGACTAATTGTTGTGTTGTTTAAGCCCTAATAAGCTATCCATGGTACTTTCGTAGATAAAAGGTGTGTTACTGTTGCACCCTCTGGAATTTAGGAGGTTTGGGTTTGAGCAATGCTTCGTAGTTTTGGGACCATGAGAAACTATTATATTGTCTGATTTACAAATAGGATATGCTAGATACCATGTCAAGTTAGGGTTTAGGTTGTGCATTAGATAATGTAATCAATATCATACAGTATGATGTTGTTAGCCCATAGTATGATGTTGTTACCATATAGGGACGGTAGAGAACTCGCCAACTCACCCTTCATTGTGCAATTAATAAAGGCCTACTTAGAATATAAGTAATATTATCTCATACTCATGAATTAAGATAGAAAATTAAATATGAGAAAATATAGGAAAATCATTCCGTTTAAGAAAAAAAATATATAGAAATAATGAATTTGTTTACAAAATAATGAGTTTGGCTAGGTTTTGCCTTGTTATTAGCCAAAGAAACCTCCAATGCNTTCAACTTCTGTCGGGTCTTGGGTTTCAGCAATGCTTTCGGCCGACGCAGCCCCCTCCGGGGTTTCAGCAATGCTTTCGGCCGAGATCGACGCAGCCCCCTCCGGGGTTTCAGCAATGCTTCCGGCCGACACAGCCCCCTCCGGGGTTTCAGCAATGCTTCCGGCCGACGCAGCCCCCTTTGGGGTTTCAGCAATGCTTCCGACCGACGCAGCTCCCTCCGGGGTTTCAGCAATGCTTCCGGCCGAGATCGACGCAGCCCCCTCCGGGGTTTCAGCAATGCTTCCGGCCGAGATCGACGCAGCCCCCTCCGGGGTTTCAGCAATGCTTCCGGCCGAGATCGACGCAGCCCCCTCCGGGGTTTCAGCAATGCTTCCGGCCGAGATCGACGCAGCCCCCTCCGGGGTTTCAGCAATGCTTCCGGCCGAGATCGATGCAGCCCCCTCCGGGGTTTCAGCAATGCTTCCGGCCGAGATCGACGCAGCCCCNNTCCGGGGTTTCAGCAATGCTTCCGGCCGACGCAGCCCCCTCCGGGGTCTCAGCAATGCTTCCGGCCGACGCAGCCCCCTCCGGCGTTTCAGCAATGCTTCCGGCCGAGATCGACGCAGCCCCCTCCGGCGTTTCAGCAATGCTTCCGGCCGAGATCGACGCAGCCCCCTCCGGGGTTTCAGCAATGCTTCCGGCCGAGGCCGACGGAGCCCCCTCGGGGGTTACAGCAGTGCTTCCGACCGACGTATCCCCCTCGGGGGTTTCAGCAGTGCTTCCGACCGACGTATCCCCCTCGGGGGTTTCAGCAGTGCTTCCGACCGACGTATCCCCCTCGGGGGTTTCAGCAGTGCTTCCGACCGACGTATCCCCCTCGGGGGTTTCAGCAGCGCTTCCGACCGACGTATCCTCTTTCGGGGTTTCAGCAGCGCTTCNGTCCGACGTATCCTCCTCTGGGGTTTCAGCAGCGCTTCCGTCCGACGTATCCTCCTCTGGGGTTTCAGCAGCGCTTCCGACCGATGTATCCCCCTCTGGGGTTTCAGCAGCGCTTCCGACCGATGTATCCCCCTCCGGGGTTTCAACAATGCTTCCGGCCGAGGCCGACGGAGCCCCCTCGGGGGTTTCAGCTGCGCTTCCGACCGACGGAGGAGCCCCCTCGGGGGTTTCAGCGCCCGACGTATCCCCCTCCGGGGTTTCAGCAGCGCTTCCGACCGACGTATCCTCTTTCGGGGTTTCAGCAACGCTTCCGACCGATGTATCCCCCTCCGGGGTTTCAACAATGCTTCCAACTGATGTAGCCGCTGAGACTTGTGTGCTACTTCCAATTGGAGCAATAGTTGGGGCTTGTGTGTCATGTAATCCAAATGCACGAAATGAAAATTGACTGTCGAGATTGACGTCACCAGTGACATCACCAAAAGTGGCACCCACCTTCGCACAACATTGCAAAGCCATCAATAAGAAAAGGGTGTGAAAGAGCTTGAAACCTTTCGCCATGGTTATGGTGAAATGTCTTCAAGTTGTAGGGTTACAAGCTCGTTTCACAAATGATGAAGAATAGCAATGGCTAATGGATGCTTGAATGTTTCTGATAATGTGATACCCAATATATAGTTCGATGGAAAAACTATATTTAGAAAAAGACTTTTAAATTTTGTGATATCGGGATATTCTAAATATAGAAGGTTTGACTATTAGGGATAATTATATTTTTAAACAAAAACATCCTCGTACTGCACCAAAAATAACATCAAAATTTTCAAAACTATTTCTAAATTTTTAAAATTTGGAATAAAGTAATTATTAAATGGATTGAATTTTTGTCTTTAATATTAACTTTTTTCTCTTAGGTGTGCAATAGATGGAAGAAATGAATATATAATATAAAATACTTAAATTGGGCATACATTTAAAATGAATTATATCATAAAAGTCATATTATCATTTAAATTGACCATACACCTAGCCCTATTCGGAGTTGCCTGTTCGACTCATTCATCTGTTTTTTGTCCCATTTTTTATACTCCATTTGCAAGTATCTCATCTTGTCATCTCGATCTTCATTGATATGGTTCATATGTCTTGACACCATCTCGAGTCTTAGGGTTTCGTCGGCCATCACAACTCATTCGGTCATGTCATCGAGAACAGGTCCGCATGTCGCTCATCTCATCGAGACTTCTTGAACATCCATCCATCCGGGTTCTATCGAGACATTGGCTCTCCCGTTCCCATGTTGTGTCATTTACAGATACTGTGTTGGATAGCGGGTGTATGTAGCAACCTCCAACATGCGGACTGGGGCGCAATACCGGCACACCAGTGTTGTCCGGTACTATACTTGAAAATTTCATTTCAAAGGAAGTCGCCCGAGACACTCGTATTGGCACGTTCGCCCACACTGTGACACACGTATGTGCCACAAGGTAGCTCACTTAGGCCACAGGGCTTAGGAGTACCAAGAGCAAGCTCGAAAAAGTGACTCAGACAAATACGAGTACATCTTATCTTAGACGGTTAGAATATGCATGAAAAAATATGAAAATTTCGAGATTTCTATGATTCATGTTTTTAATTCTCTCTGATGTGCTATTATGCTTCGAGTGATTAATAGATGTTTTCTCCTCCTTGAACTTGCATAATTGATTAGGTTATGAATTTCGTGCTTTAAGTGTTCAATATGAACTCCGTCTTTTTCTTGAATTTCATGCTTCTAGGAGTGAGCAACAATCAATAATGAAGACTTGAGTGCTCTTAAAAAGTGGATTAGCCCTAGGAGCTAGGTTCGAGTATCCTAGAAATGTGAGCTATCTATGGATGACTATGAAAACTCATCCAACTACTAGCAATGTGAACGATATTACCAAACCAATTGGTACATGCAAGAAATAGGCCAATTCGGCAGCCTTTTGCTCAATTTCTCGTGGGATCAGATTTTGATCGGTACGAATCAAGAGAATGGCCCATTGGCCTCTAATTTCCATATAAAGAACACGACGTACATAAATACCCTCTTTAACTACTATTTTTCGTTAGGGGTTTCCTAGAAAAAATCGTTGAATCTTCCTCCGATTCCTTACGAAAGACATTTAGTCCAAAGCCCACTTCCAATTTCTTTTCCCGAACTCATTTGTATATAATTTGAATGACTTTTTTTTTTTTTTTTTATAGGAATACAAAAATAATGAATTTGTTACCAACAGCGATTCAATTTAGTTTTTAACATCACTTTACCATTAATAGTAACAATGTTTTCACTGTTCTTGGTGGAAATTTCATGACCCTTAGAAGCAAGATCAATGTCATTGCTACTTCCAACCGGTGCAGCCGCTGGGACTTGTGTGTTACCTTCGATTGGTGTAAAAAAGGGTGGTTGTGAAATACCTCCAATTGGTGCAACTGCTCGAGCTTGCATGTCATCTGGTTTAAAAGTACGAAATGAAAATTGACCATCTTGATTTACGGTACCAGTGGCATCACCAAAAGTGACACCCACCTTCGTAGAAAGAGCTTGAAACCTTTTGCCATGGACATCATGAAGTGTCTTCAAGTTGTAGGGTTACAAGTGTGCTTGGATTTTTCTGATAATGTGAACCTCTCCATATAGTTTGACCGAAAAACTATATTTAAAAGAGACATTAATTTTTGAGAGGCCCTCAAATTTGGTGGGTCTCTGTAATTGTGAGGAAGAATGAGGTTGTCTGTGTAATTGTGAGACCGTGTTTGAGATCATGAAAAACAACAAGATAATTATAATTCTTTATAGTTTTCGGACCACATTTGAGACTATGAAAACAAATAAGATTGTTGTCGTCCTTTGTAATTCTAGAACCATGACAACGTTGTTGTTCCTCATAGTCTCAAAATTTTGCTTATAGATAGAGCTTAAACAATATGGGGTAGAGCTTAATAACGACGAGAAATACATAGAGGTAGGAAGAAATCAAGTAGAATAATGATAATTTATGACATTAAATCAACTTAATTTCTAAGATAAAACAAGATTCAGTCCTAAACGACTTTTTATGGGTGAAAACTATCCCCATAGATCAATACAGTTAGAATTAAATCAACTTTTGAAGTATTTCTTAGTCATCTTATTCTTAGGATTACTCTCATTTACTAAAGTATCACATTTACACCAATTTCTAGCTTGATTCATCATCGAATCACATCTTACTAGGAGAGATAATATTGCCCTAATACCATTTGTAACGATTCATGCCCAGAATTCGGATCAAGTATCAAATTCGAGTTTAAAATCTTGATCCGAATCTTGAGCATGGGACGTTACAAAATTTGAAAATTTCTTTAAACATTTATGAATGAACAAGTCGAACAATGTTTCGATTTATTAATCAAGAAATATACAAATCTACAAATGGTATGAACTTTTATTAGCAATCTATTCTATCTTATAACTTTTACCTCGGTAGAATACAAACATCAAAACTTTTTCCCACTTCACCATGGCAGTTAAAGTAGTTTTGGGAATTTCACTGAGTAGCAGCCACAGTGCCATTACTGGTCGTAGTTGCAAGGCCATGAGACTCGACATTGGCAACCGACTTCAAACCAATTTTGCCACCATTTGAGACAACACTTTCGTTGTTCTTCGAACTGAATTCTCCACTACGAGGAGCAATGATATTGCCACTGTTATTTAAACTAACGTTGCCACCATCCGAACCAGCAGCTCCCAGTTCATTGGAGCTGATTTCTCCACTATGAGAGCCGACACCATCAGAATCAGCAGCTCCCAGATCATTGGAGTTGATGTTTCCACCATCTGAAACAGCAGCTCCCAGTTCATTGGGGCTGATTTCTCCACTATAAAAGCCAACAATATTGACACTACTCTTGAAGGTAATGGTTTCACCTCCAGAATTAGCAGCTCCAAGATCATTGGAGCTGGTGTGTCCACCATCCGAACCAGCAGCTCCAAGATCATTGGAGATGGTGTGTCCACCATCCGAACCAGCAGCTCCCAGATCATTGGAGCTGGTGTGTCCACCATCCGAAGCAGCAGCTCCCAGATCATTGAAGCTGATGTGTCCACCATCCGAAGCAGCAGCTCCCAGATTATTGGAGCTGATTCCTCCACTATGAGAACCCACATCATTGCCACTACTCTTCAAATCAATCTTTCCACCATCCAAATCAGCAGCTCCCAGATCTTTGGAGCTGCTGTCGACAACATTGGCACTACTTTTCAAACGAATGTTGCTGCCATCCAAAACATCAGCTCCCAGCTCCTTGGAGCTGGTTTCTCCACCATTGCCACTTCTCTTCAAACCAACAGGAAGAATTTTTCCACCATAAGAATAAACAATGTTTCCACCCCTCTTCCTAATAATTTCATGACCCTTAGAAAACCCACCACCGCCATTGATCTTTGGTACTTCACGACCAACAAATGCAGCGCCACCTTTCTTAATTTCATTACGAAAAGATGAAGCTTTGTCGTCGACACTCACTTCTGAACTCTGGATGGCGGTATGGTCGAATTTCGAGATTCCAATATAATGATCACCAAATGAACGGAAAGAAAACCGATGGTTTCGGCCTTGACCTATAACACCAGTGACATCGTTGAAAGTGGCACCCAACCTCGCACAACACTCCCAAGCAAGAACTAAGAAAAGGGCGTGGACGATATTAAAACCTCTCACCGCTGCCATTGTTGAGAGTCTTGAAGCTTCTATCACAAATGATAAGTAATAGAAATGATGAAGGTGCCGATTGTTTGGAATTTTGTGTTCTATATATGCTTGTTTGATCGGAAAACCATATTTAGAAAATTTTGACAAGTGTTTGGGTACGAGAATTATTAGTAACTCTCTGAATCAGCTTCCTTAAATGAATGTAGGGTTAAGAAGTCGTAAGTAGCATCCAGATACTCCAAACGAAATCACGTGTACGAAAATCACAATATGGGCTAATTTTTATTATTATTGCTGGATCATTTCATAAATATTTCTTTTAAAGTAGAAATCTATTAGAATGTTGAACAGAAAATACAGTAATAATTTGAAATAATGTGACTATGACTACAATTCTTATCTAGATTAAATCTGATTCGATTTTTCATTCGACGAGTCTCCAAGAATATTTTAAAACTTTTACGAAAAAGTATTAATTTGCGTCTTTTGAAAGCCTACTTAGCTTCGTCATCAAGTTGAACACCAAAGTATTGATTCATCTTGTTTGAGAATCTTGTTATGAACTTTGAATGGGTTTTAGTCAAAATTATTTAATTTCTAGAATTTCTAAACAAATTATGTTTTTTATTTTTCAATTCACTTAAGATTAAATTAAGTTATTTGATGAAATTAAATGAGAAAAAACATATCTTGGAGAGTTGATTTATAGGTAATTAGTCATATGTTATAGATATTGGATAATATTTTTAGATAATTACAGTCGATTACAGACTTCTAATTGCGAAATCTGGCCGCCGCCGCCGCAGGTTTCTTGGTGATGTAGTAATCGATGATGGAAATTCCGCCGTACCTCTCAGCGGCCTCTTTGCTATCAATGGTGCTCCTAACTTCTCCGACACGGGACGGGGCCGGGTAATTGAAGAACAGATCGTGATCAAAGTTGTTCGTACGCCAAGGGAGGTGGTGAAGCTCGCCGTCGTTTGCGACCTTTTGCAGTGGTCGGGAAATTTTGGTTCTTTGCTCGACAAAGTAGTAATAGTTCTCCTCCCGCTTCCGGAAAGTTGCCATGGATTCCGGCGAAGTTGCAGAGTGCCCGCTCCTTTATGGAAGTTGTGTTTTTGTTTTTGTGTGAAGAGGGTGAAGGATTTTGAGGTTCCTTTATAGTTGACTGGGCTCTACCTCCGACCCCACCTACCCTAATAGCTAAAGAGAAATATCATGAATTTATAATTAAGAAATATCATCTTCAATTGTATGGGACATTTTTATTCTTGTAAAATCACGAGAGATTCTGATATCTCGCATCGGTTAGAGAGGGGAACAAACATGTTTTACAAGGGTGTGGAAATCTCTCTTTGGTAGACGCGTTTTAAACCCATGAGGTTGATGACAATAAACAATGAGTCAAAGCGGACAATATATGATGGCCTACAAGGAAATGGATAATGAGGTTTTACATTTTTTTTTTAAATCGTGAGGCAGACAACTTGTGCTTGGACTATTACAAATATAAATGTTTGTGATTCCGTGTGTGAATGTTTGATTAATCCACCACACCTAAATGGTGTGAAAGTTATCTTATTTATAATCAAATAAATTACAAGGATATGGAAATAGTAATAAATGAAAATAACAATAAATGGAAAAATATCTATGATAATAAGACAAATATTAGATATTTGCCTTATAATAAAATATCAAATATAATATATATGGTAAACTATAATTTATTACTAAATATCCTTAACACCGTGCATATATGACTCATGTGACAAACTTGAAGTTGATTCGGTCAAATTGTTCACCAAAGAATATTTAGCATGTAGGTTACTTAATCTTTTGTGGGAGTGTGTTTCTTATATTTATCGTGTTTAGTCGTTCTAACTTTATTGTTGAGATCTTTTCTTTCACGTTAGCTGGCACGCTTCTCGATTAAATTTTTGGGTTTTGAGAGCGTGATTTGCTTCTTTGGGTAATTTGATCTCATGGACCTATTTACGATAATCGAAAAGGGTGAAGAATAGTTGAAGGAGAAGAAGATGAGAAGGAAAGAATACAATTTTAGTCAAACAGTCATTCTCGTTTATATTCACCCAATTTCACATTTATATTCGGTCGAAAAAGGAAGTATTCCTACCGAAAAATTTCGATTTTGCAAATAATAGGATCATAACATAAAGGATATAGGAAAATGTTGAAACCATAGTGAAAGAACGACATGTAGGGTTTGAGTGAGTGCCCGTCTTCGAATAGTTATAACTATTTGTGTGCGAATGGCTACAAAATTCGTATATATCGATAGGGCATAAACACGTAAGGTTGCGTTTATCCAATCCGTTCAATAATACAAAAGGAATAAAGGCATCATATACTTTTCATAATTCATTTGGTGGGAAGATATTCTTCATTTTCTACCCTAGAATCTTTTGACTCGAAAGAAATTCCATCCAATTTGATGTGTAAAAGATAAGAATCTCACCTTTTCATAACAAATAAAAAATAAAAATAAAAACACTTGAATTAAACGTTTATTTTATGACTGCGTGTCTGATGTCTAAAGCGTGTTGTCATGTGTCACGGTCATGCTTATTCAAGACGTGTTACTTGTGACTGCATGTCGGATGTCTAGGACGTGTTGTTTGTGACTGCATGCCCATTTCAAACCTCTTTTACTTGCTTTCATGTTACATAGGCCTTTACTATTATTGTTGTGTCAATACAAGAGTGTATGATTGATCATCAAAATCATGTCTACACCGTCAGGGCTAACATGCTCGAAAATGTACGGAATTTGACTAATTATCAATTCTTCCTAACTATATTATATGTTATCGAAGTCATTGTTGTTGTCTACACTTTTAGCTTATAACATTACTTTCTTTAAAATTGTTTTCAACGAATTTCCTCGCTCACGTTTTCTAAAACATTTATCTCAAACGTGACTCGAGGCAATTTCACATGACTGACTTGTTCATTAGGTTAGAACAAGTGTTGCACAATCACTATCTGCTACCACAAGAGTGCGATTGTGACACCGTAAACGCATGATTGAATAAGATCGTATAAAATAGATATATTTTTTTTAAAGAAACCCCGTGAACGATATTTTTTTAAGAAGTTTAACACATTTAGTATTCTTGATATATTCTTAGGCAAATATCATACCTTTTAGTTTATTATTAATTGGGAAGTGAAATTGTATAAATCCACGAGCCAACTTAGAACATCCAAGTAATTGATCGTTCAAATGCTTTCAGGTTCGTAGATTCTTAAACCGTTTGTTTCAAACAACGAAGTGTCAAGATAGTTTAAGAAGTTTATACACAGCATGAGAATTGATATATGGACGATTCCCAAATTGAAGTCAGTCGTATGGAAATCTCTCACGAGCGTACGGGTTTTAAAAATGTGAGAGTACAGTGATACATAGCAGAACAAAATAGACAATAGTTATTAACAGTGAACTTGAGTTTGAGTTGTTACAACCGATAATAACATTTAAAGAAAAAAGACAAAATCGTAATGGTTTGAACAAGTTACTATGACGATAATGATAATAATAACGATACGCTTTCATTCCATTTTATGATCTAAGTGAAAACCAAACATATCATACCTACGAGACTTTACTTTTGACTCGAGAACCCGAAAAAAAGAACATCGAAATCCACACTCTCCATCCAAGTCAATAATGTAGAGGGCAAAGCCTTCCCCTTTTTAGCCATGTGCCCTCACGTTTTTTCTTCATTAATAATAGTAATCATCTGGGGTACCCCTCCCTTAGTTTAGAGGGAGAGTGCCCTTAGAGCTGGCCAAAAGAGTGAGCCAGATAAGCCAGTGACCCTACAAGAGGTGCATTCATATACGTGGCGGGCTCAGACTGTTCGTAATCCGACCGTTGATCTGGGAACCTGTCATTCTTATCGGGCCCACCCACCACTGCACCAATCAGCAAGTTTGGATTTGGTGCGGCCGAGTTCATCACACTGAACCCTGCCGTGCATTGGATCTTCCCTGGATGAGTTGCAATCGACGGCAGTGATGATCCCCTGTGATGGATCCTTTTAGGGTACCTTGCCCCATACCCCACCATGTAGGACATCTTTTGTGGGTTATCCCCTAGAAGATAGTCCACCTACACCACCCAAATATACAACATTGATAATTTCCACTCGCTCCCAATTAAGGGGTTCTTCATAAATTTATAAGTAAAGAATAACGTCTATTTTGGTACGAGATCTTTTGGTGAGTTAATGCTCGGAGTGGACAATATCTATAGCGGCCCAAACCAACAACTAGTAGATATTGTCCTCAGCTTCTCCTCAAGATCTTAAAACGCGTCTACTAAGGAGATATTTCCACACCCGTATACAGAATGTTTCATTCGCCTTCCCAACTAACGTGGGATCTCACAATATCATACCATTGCGAAGGTTCGTGATTTTTAACAAACAAGAGCGAGTTTTTGAGGTACCTGTTTTTTGGCAATGGAGCGGAGGGTTTTCGGGGTGATGGTCGTGCCGCAGTTCACCACGGAGCGGGCGGAGGTCAAGTACTTGGCGTAAGTTAAGAGTAGGAATGAAGTTGATGTAACATATTGCATGTTGCTATCGTTCATTTTAAACAGCAACCCACCTGCCCAATCACACTAAAGTTCAAAACTTTGTTCAAATTTTCACAAAAAAAAGTAGCCGTTAAGAAATTGAACAGAACCAACCAGGAGTGTATTTGGTTGAGGAGAATGAAGCTCCGGGAATTATAGAGCATATGAAATTATCAGCATGCCCTTTATAATCATGAAGAGATTGCATCTTTTGCACCAAAAATGCCTATAAAAAACGATGAACAACAACGTTTATTGTTATAATATCATACCGTTGTGGAGATATAAAGAGGGTGTTTTTCGAACCTTTGAGAGAAGGATTCGGGCTCCGGCGTGCTTGTTATCCCAACCGAACGTGTTATCGAACTCCCCGGCGCCGAGAGTCTGTCCATTGACTTGAATGTAATTGAGATAT